TTCATAGGAACGCTGTACTTTTTGATAGCAGGGGAAACCTATACCTGAGAGAAATGAAAATGGACATACATATAGAAACTCATTCATAATAGCATTATTCATAATAGCTCAAAAGTGGAAACAACCCAGGTGTTCATCATCTGATAAACAGATACACAAAATATGGTGTATTCATACATTGGAGCAGTGTTTGGCCTTAAAAAGGAATGAAACTCTCATAGAACAACATAATGAAGCTTGACAACATACTAAGTGAAATAAACTAGTCACCAAAGTTCTAAGAGACTGCTGAACAGTTTTGCAAAGTGGCTATACCATTTCATATCCCCACTCCATTTGTGTGAAATAGCCAGAATAAGATCTAAAGAGACAGAAAGATTAGTGGTTACGTAGGAGAGTCAAGGAAATGGAAAGCAACTGCTAATGAATCCAAGATTTCTTTTAAGGATGATGAACAAGTAATAAAACTGGTTATGGTAGTAGTTGCACAACTCTGTGGGCATATGAAAAACCACTGAGTTATGCACTTTAAGTACATGAATTGTGTGGTATATGAATAAAATAAATAATAAGGCTGTTAAAAAGAACTTTTATTACTCTTAAAAAAACAAATTAGTGATAGATAATAGTTTATATTTACTCTATAGATCATATTATGTTATTTAAAATAAACATTTCTTAAAGTCCTTGGCTAGTTCAAGATTTCTTGACAAGTTCAGTCTTGTTCAAGCAGTCTGATGTACTTGGCATTTAACAATAGATTAAATATGAGATGATTCTGTTTCCTTTTTCATAGTAATAATTGAACAGACTTCTCTCCATTAAAATAAAGGGCCCAAATTTTATAAATGATTACGATTGTAAATTAAGCTAAAATTAAGAATATATATATTTCAAATTCAGGCAGTAGCAACCCCTTTTAAATCCAATAGACCATTCTTATTTAGAGAATAGTTTAGAATTTTATCTTCTTGACCCTAGAGCTGGGGCAGCACAGAATAAGTGTGTTTTTCCACATTGGGTAGGAAGTTACTCTTTTCTCTTTGCCTTATGGTTAATGTGCATAATCAAATTACATGTTGTCTAGTGATTTCTCTGAGATGGAATTCAAATTAAGTACACATTAAATAATGAAAAAGCTCATCTTTTCCTCATGGAGGTAATAGGATAATATAGGAAATAAGACACACAGAAATAATTATTAAACACAAACTGGGATTGATTTAAAAAATGATACTGAAAAAAGTACTGTGGCCATTTATAGGGGTTATTTCCAGTTTGTTTTCATAGTTTTTAGTTAAGGGGAAAAAGGTGATTCAAAGATACTTAATGATAATCCCCATTGATACATTCCCTTTGCACCTAGACTATTGGAATAACTTCTTAAAGGATCTTTCTTCCACCAGTTCTCTTCCCTACAACTTTTACAAAAGGATTTTATCACACCATTCCCCTTAACAGCTCATGCTTTATCCAGAGAATCATTTACCAGTTGGTAACATACAAATCTGCAAGGCTTTATAAAAGTTAAGGGAGCTCGATGGAGAGAAACAAGAGTGCCAATGATAGACAGATTTTTAGGAATTTCTTGAAGAGAGTGAGCAAACGAGATGAGAACTATGGAGAAAACAAGCCATCCAGAGTGCTTGCTGTTCCCCTCTGCTGTTTATTTGTCCCAGTGACTGCAGTAAGACAAAAAGAAATGGGATGTGTGGATATTAGAAAGACAGAGGTCTGTGGTGATTGTCACCAAGAAAATCCAAGAGGATTTTATTAGGATTCTTGGCTGCCAACAATGGAAGCCAATGATATGTCTGACATAAATAGAAAATAAATTTGTTAGATGGATATCAAGTATGTCATGGTGTTTACAAGAAGATTGGAAAACGTGGTCCAGAAAACGGCCTTTGGGTGCAAGCTGAGAAGTGAGACACATTTTACTCTGCATGCTTCTGTGTGGAGTGTTTTACCATAAGAATTAAAAAAAAAAAAAAAAAAACTCACTGCCATTAAGTCAATTCAGACTCATAGCACCCTCCTTTGGGTTTCCAAGATGGTAAATCTTTACAGAAGTAGATTGCCCTGTCTTCCTTCCATGGGGTGACTGGTAGGTTTGAACTGCCAACTTTCTGGTTAGCATTCAAATGCCTTAGGCACTACACCACCAGAGCTGGACCCCGTTGAAATTGTTTTTGAAAAATAACTGTATGGAGTGCTGATATTGAAAAAGTTAATGAGGACTAAATAATTCTGAAAATTTATGTCTTGACTACCTTCACATAATCTGTTTTGTGTTGATTTGATCACAATTCTGAAACACATGACTGTGTGGATGGGGAGCATCAAAATTAAAAAAATTATTAACTTGGATCATTTGATTACAGTGCTATCTCCCAGTTTTTTCCACTCTAAAGCTACTGTTTTTCCCTTTAATTAGTTTCTCTTGGGAAGATAATTTGGGCCATGTAAATATCCCTTTACTATCACATTTTCATCCCTACCTTTCATATCCATTGCTGATTCTTGTCTGAATCAAATATTGCTGTGATGGTTGCCAAATGGTGATTTTCTAATTTCATTATCTTGTTGTACCCAGGTTATGAAGGAGTAGTTCGGGGTGAATAAATTGCCAACATGCGACAATGCAAAAAGCAATAGGAAAGTTTATTAGCTAACTTAAGTTAGGGTCCTTGCCTTCACCCTCACAGTGGATTGAGCAAAAGACCCCATGCTCTTACTTTAAGGGATATTTATAGAGAAACATAGAGTAGATAATTTGGTTTTTATGATAGGGGTTTGGGAATTTGGGGCAGGTTGAAATTCCCCTGGTTTCAAAGGTGAGTGAGAGATTTCTTGGGGCCGGGCGGATCTCTGATAAAAGGCTCTGAGGTATGGGATATTTACTACAGGTATTAGGGCTCAGCATGGGACGTGTCAATCTACCTGGAGGCATTAGGGCTCAGCATGGGACGTGTCAATCTACCTGGAGGCATTAGGGCTCAGCATGGGACGTGTCAATCTCCATACTAAAGGCTTCTGGTTAAGAGACCTTTCAGGCTTTACAATCCTTTCTATATGTATTATTTAGATCCACTGTAAGGAAGAACTTCCCCTCCTCCCTCACATTATGTATGAATAGATATATATATATAGGAGCTCTGGTAGCATAGTGCCTAAGGCACTTGACTGCTAACCAGAAAACTGGCGGTTCAAACCCACCAGCCACTCCTCCGAAGGAAGGTTGGGCAATCTACTTCCATAGAAATACCACCTCGGAAACCCAAGAAGGAGTCTCTATGAGTCAGGATCGACTTGACAGCAGTGAGTTGTTTTTTTTTTTTTTATAACACAGTTGATGAAGGAAACAAAAGGGGAGATGTCAGTGTGGTCTGAAGTTGCTGAGTTTAGACTTAAACTGGGCAATTGCTTAGGTGGAAAGGTATCCATAAACACTCAGGTCATGAAGAGACAAACTTGAAAAGAGCAGGTCATTCTGGAAACTTCATGGCAAAAAAGATTAGTTAAGTTAAGGGCTGACCAGTGGAGGGATCTGGAGGGAGAGATGAAGGAATATGGATCTGGAGGGAGAGATGAAGGAATATGCATCGAGAGCATATTAAAGATTAAAATAAGAGAAAAAATTTGAGTCTACCTCCCTAAAATCCAAAAAGTCATCTTTGGTAGTTCTTCATAAGGATGCATTACATCTGAATTGTCACCAGTGCCATTACTGTGTCTTTGACTTTGACTTTTATACATTATTAACCATAACATTATTTTGTCTATCCTCTCTTATATATGACTGATGTAAATGAAGCTCTAGTCTAACCTCCTGGAAGTTGCAATGAGCATAAGTACGAGGCTTTTGTTGTTGAAAGTATACACAGCAAAACATACACCAATTCATCAGTTTGTTTATGCACAATTAAGTGAAACTGATTACATTCTTTGAGTTGTGCATCCATTCTCACCCTCCTTTTCTGAGTTGTTCCTTCTCCATTAACGTAAACTCACTGCCCCCTAAGGCTCCTATGTAAGTTGCTTAGGTGTAGAGGTATCTGTAAGCTCAAATTGCTATTGTCAGTTTGATCCCATATAGATAGTTCTTAAAAGAGTATAATGCTCAAGGCAGATGTGTTTTACTAGTTAAGCTAAACTATTGTTTGGTTTTAAGAAATCGCCGGGGGATATTTTTGATTTAAGGTTTGAAGATGATCTCAGGGCAATAGTTTCAGGGGTTCATTCAACCTTCATGGCTCCAGGAAGTCTGGAATCCATGAGAATTTGAAATTCTGTTCTGCATTTTCCTCTTGGTCAGGATTTTTCTGCAGAATCTTTGATCAAAATGTTCAGTAATGGCAGCCTGGCACCACCCAGTTCTAGTCTTTTATGGCAAGGGAAGCAATTGTTCATGGAGGCAAATAGCCACACATTCCATATCTTCCTATAAGTAAGAGATTTTGAACTATCATTAATTATTAAAAAATAATTCCCATCTCTAGAAATCTAGTGACAGATTGAAATTAAAATTTAATTTTTTAGGTACATAAAGGAAGTAGTCATAACTAGAATATGATTTACTTGGTGCTGGCAGCTCTTCTGGCAACCTAATCTAAAAGTAAGTATTTATTCTAAAAGAAAGGGAGCTCTAGTATCCTAGTGCCTAAGGCACTTGACTGCTAACCAGACAGCTGGTGGTTCAAACCCATCAGCCACTCCTCAGAAGGAAGGTTGGGCAATCTACTTACGTAGTGACACGGCCTCGGAAACCCAAGGAGGGGTCACTATGAGTCGGCTCCGACTTGACAACACATGACAACAACAACAACATTCTAAAAGAATAGACATGGTATAAGTATTTATGATTTGGTGAAAATTTGATTGAAAATTCAGTTTAACTTTAGGGCTGTTTTCAGGTAATGCATGTATGTCTTTTAATACTAGAAATTTTGGTATAGTTAGTATCAGAAAGTATATAGATCTCTGTTTTTTCTTTCTAGATCCTGGTTAGATAACAATGAAAAAAGTGCCATTAAAAAGCTGAAGAATAGTTTGCCACTTAGAAAAGAACTAGATCGTCTAAAGGATGAACTGTCTCATCAGTTGCAGCTCTCGGATATCAGGTAATAAAGAGAATGTAATTTAGAGATTCATATAAACTTGAATTACCTGTTGATAAAGCTTTATAGCTAAATATTTACATCTTTAATTTTAATTATTCTGGTAATAATTTGTCAATTATCGTCTTTTGAAAGTAATCAAATATTCATCTATGTAACAAATCCATTATCAATTTCTTGTTTAAAATGTTGAAGTAAGATTTAAATGCTGATATTTTGGGCATAATAATTAACTTTTTATGTAATAAGTTTATTTAAAAATCTTTTCCATTATATACATAATATAAAAAGCCATTATACCCCCATCATGTAAGGCCAGTGTGGCAGTTATGTTTGTGTGTCAAGTTGGCTAGGCCTGGTTGAGTGGCTGGGCAGCTGGTGATAGTTATTCCCCACAATGAGACTGGCATTCAACTCCATGCTGGGATCTACCACTAGCAGCTGGGTAGCTGCCTTTGGGTATGTGGTCTGTTTCCTGTATATAAAAAGTAGCTTTGGGAATGATCTCTAGCTTATGGCACACTTGAACCCTGCATGTAGCCATGTCATCATTCAGCAGCCTGCCATGCTGTGCTGATCCTGGGACTTTCAGTGGGCTTGAGTCAATGGCCTGTCGTGTTGTTTGGTAACATGGGAACTGTGCCATTTTACTTGTTGACCTTGGGCTTGTCAGCCTTAGCAGCCACTAGTTGCTTGAGTGAAGAGATGCCTCTAGCTTCAGTGGGCCGGGAGCAAGAGGCAGAGCTGAAGCCTGAGGTCAAGGGGCTTTCACATAACCCCTAGAACCTGGCACATAGAACTCAGATTTCTAGCCTCCAAAAATTAAGAATAAACTCCTGTTTGTTAAAGGCATCCCATTTATGGTATATTCCTGTCAGAGCAGCCCTGGGTAACCAGAACAGTCAGTACTGAAAAATTTAAAAAGGGGAGAGAGGGATAGATGTATTCTTGGCTCTTGGTCACATGTTGTGATTTTTAAAATAGCTTGAAAACCTCTACTATATAAAAATTCATGCTGAAATTTATTAAAAAATAGAATGAAGGGCTCATAAAACTGGAAAGGTCATCTCATTGAGTCACCTACCCATCATGGTCCTCCTATTATATCTTAAAACCAGTCACCTCTGCCTCATGACAACCACATGTGTGTCACAGTAGAATTATGCTCCATAGAGTTTTCAATGGCTGTCTTTTCTAGAAATAGATCATCAAGCCTTTCTTCTCAGTTGCCTCTGGTTGGACTTGAACCTCCAACCTTTTGGGTAGCAGCTGAGCTCCTTAACCATTTGCGCCACCGAGGGACTCCCTCTTCTTATGTTGTTGTTGTTATGTGCCATCAAGTCAGACCTGACTCATAGCGACCCCTCCTTGGGTTTCCGAGGCAGTATCACTACGGAAGTAGATTGCCCAACCTTCCTTCCGAGGAGTGGCTGGTGTGTTTGAACCACCAGCCTTCTGGTTAGCAGTCAGGTGCCTTAGGCACTATGCTACCAGAGCTCCTCCTCTCATTATAAGGACCTTAAAAAATTGTCACTTGGTCTCTGCTTAAACATTTCTATTACTTTTTGCTATAATCTGTTTTATAGTTTTCAACTCTCATTATTAGAATTTTTTTTTAAATACATTGAACCAGATGACTATTTGAACCATAATAGCACCATTTCCCTGTGCTTACAGACTACAGATAGAGTCTTCACATGTCCTTTTGTTATTTTCAAATACTACTTTTTACAGATAGCTCAAATTTCAAAGGGAAACCTTTGGACGTACAGTATTTGGACTATTTGAATTTGTGCAGATAGCTGTTTTTTGTTCCTTAGTGTTTATTTAGAGCAAGCTTTGAATAGAAGAGGTCTTCCAAGTCCATAGTCTGGTAATGCAGACTTTTCTAATCACTAAAAACAAAATAGTAAGATGCTTTTTTTTAAGTTTATGAAACAAAATGTGCATGAAAATAACTGTTTCAGGTATAAATTTTAGATATCTGTCAAAACTAATTGAGATTAGGAAAATGAAAGGATTTCTTAAACATGAAAAAACATATTTTACAATATGGTGGAAAAATGCCTCAGTTTTCATTATAGTATAGTAGATACCAATAAACGTAATCCATATAAACAAAACTTTTTGGGATTCTCCATTTTTAAGAGTGTAAAGGGATTCTGAGACAAAAAAAGTTTGAGAACCAGGGACACGAGGACTTTTCCATTTTCTGGAAAATTAGCCAAATTGCCAACAAATGGAAACATTGTGATCAATGACATCATTTCTACCTCTAAACAGAAAGACCATTCATTAATACGAACACCACCTGGTAGCTTTGTCACTTAAATATGCCAAATTCTAAATAATCAAAATTAGTCTTAATACTTTGAAATATCTTAGTTACTGAATAGTGGGTTAAAGGGAACATTTTAAAAAACAGTTTTCATATGATCAGTATTGACATTCATAAGAATCAGTATTGAATAAAGCAGAAACCTGAAAGTTTTTTGAGTGCCTGACTCCTTCACATATATATTTTCACTTGGTTTACATTACATGTGAAGCAAGAAATGTCCCCATTTACATGTAAGAAAGTAAAACTATAGAAAGGGAGAAGCACCCTATTCAAGGTCACTGAGCTTGTAAGTTGCAGAGTTCGAAGATGGGGTTTCTGAAGCTCTTAACACCAGTGCTCTTTGCAGTTACACAGTGATGCCTCTGTGACATTGTGTGAATGCCAGGTTGCATTTTTTTGCTAAGATTTAAAATTTTAGATTTATAAAATGAGAAGATGCCATGTCATAAAAATCACTTTGTCTAGTATAAGATAAAAGGAATCTGATAAGCCTAACTGGGATTCCTAATTGCAACTTGAATATAAAACAAAATCTTTGTTAGTTTACAATGTGGATGAGAAAAATGGATTTTTTTTTACAGTTTTTTCCCATTTTATTCTAAAATGGAGATAACATAGCATATTTGCTTGTTTAAAATCTCTGGATACCTGAACATAAATAGTGGTATTTTTTGGTATATTCTGGTAGACAATTCATTTTTCATTTGGTTGCTGCTTGAAAAATCCGCTAGTTTGGAAAGCATAAGACAATTTAAAGCATTCTGTGTGCCTACTTCAGAAAGAAAACCGATGACTTTCACAGGAATCAAGCAGATTGTGGTGAACGTTAGCTTCCTCCTTCAGGGAAGCTAGCTGCTAACGGCCTGTGTGCTCTGTTGGCTTAGGTGGCAGAGGAGCTGGGGGATCGCCCATCGCTGTAGCCAGCTGCACAGTTTAGGCCGATTAGCACAGCAGAACTTGGAAACACTTAAAACTGCAAAAGGTAAACATCGTCCAGTATTCTCAGATATCACCTGCAAATTGTAGAGGAACACTGTTAAAAGACTTGTCAGATATGCCCTTATCACAACTGAATTTTTAAAATTTTGAATTGAAAAATAACATAAAATTTACTTTTAAGCCTCTACTGATTTTATATTCCTGAATTTGCACACTAAATTTAAGTGATTATTTGCACAACTATAAAAAGAACAAAGCATCTCTGGACAGTGACCAATGAGTTTGTGTTCTGTTGTTCTCAGGATGTACACTCATATTTACAGACCGTTCTGGGATGAGTGCTGTGGGCCATGTGATGCTGGGAACAATGGATGTCCATCATCACTGGACAAAAGTAAGGAAACACTGAAAACAAAGAAAATGTCTTTGATTTGTTACCAGTGTACTTTTGTTTAAAACGGTGATATTATGTCATGAACTAAGAAATAATTTGTAATCAGAGCTTAAGCTGTTTTCAAATCAGATGTTTAATATCATGTACTTAAATTATTTAAAGGAGAGACTGATTTTTGAGTTATTTTTTACTTGAAAGTGTTACTATCTTTTCTGAAGCACAACTTAAAAGCCTGTTGTTTGGTTTGGTTTGATTTAACAGATTTATTGAGATATAATTGTCATGCAATCAACTGCACAAATATTTAATGTGTATGATTTGATAAGTTCTGACATATGTATACACCTGTGAAACCACACTCAAGATAGTGAGTATATCCATCATCTTCAAAAGGATCCTCATGGCCCTTGGGAAACCCCTCCTGCCTTCTCCTATCCTGCTGTCTGCTCCCCAAGCAATCATTGATCTACTTTCTGTCACTATACTTTGTATTTTCTAGAATTTTATATAAATGGAATCAGAGTATGTACTTTTTGTCTGCCTTCTTTCACTCAGCATAGTTATTTTGAGATTTATCCATGTTTTTGCCTGTATCAGGAGTTCATTCCTTTTTATTGCCATGTCGTATTCATTGTTAGGAGCTCTGGTGGACTAAGGCATTTGACTACTAAACCAGAAGACTGGTGATTCAAACCCACCAGCCACTCCTCGGAAGGAAGACTAGGCAATCTACTTCTATAGAGATATTGCCTCAGAGACTCAAGTAGGGGTTGCTAAGAGTCAGGACTGACTCCACAGCAATGAGTTTGGTTATTTGGTTTGGTATCCATTGTTAATAAACATTGTCCAGTTTTACCCATTCACCTGTTGATAGGCATCGTGTTCTTTCTGTTTTTGCCCATTATACATAGGGCTGATATGAACATTTGGGTGCAAGTATGTGTATGGATATATTTCCTTCTCTGTAAGAGTGGAACATCTGGATCATGTGGTACATGTATGTTTAACTTTTTTTAAAAAATAGCCAACACTTGATATAGTCATCTTTTTTAATTTTAGATATTCTAATAGATGTGTAGCATAGTACCTAAGGCACTTGACTGCTAACCAGAAGGCTGGCAGTTCAAACCCACCAGCCACTCCTCAGAAGGAAGGTTGGGCAACCTACTTCCGTAGTGATACTGCTTTGGAAACCCAAGGAAGGGTCAGTGTGAGTTGGATCTGACTCCATGGCACATAACAACAACAACAACAAATAGATGTGTAGTACTATTTCAGTGTGTGTTTAGTTTGCATTTCTCTAATGACTAGTGATGTTGAATATCTTTTCATGTGCTTATCTGCCACCCCACATATCTTCTTTAATGAAGTATCTATTCAAACCTTTGCCTTATTTTTTAATTAGATTGTTTGCTTTCTTATTATTGAGTTACATATTTTTAAAACAGACTTTTTATCAGATACATAGTTTGCAAATATATTTTCCCATTCTGTGACTCATCTTTTCATCCTCTTAACTTTGTCCTTTAACGGGCAGAAGTGTTTTATTATTATTTTGATAAAGTTCAGTTTTATCAGTTTGTTCTTTTATGGATTATGCTTTTGGTGTTATATCTAAGAATCCTTTGACTAACTCAAAGTCACAAAGATTTTCTATTCTTATTTTCTTCTAGAAGCATCATAGTTTTAAGTTTTATATTTAGATCTGTGACCCATTTTTGAGTTAATTTTTATATGTAGTTTGAAGTATAGATCCAACTTTTTTTGTATCTATGGATATCCAATATCTAATTTTTTCATTATCTTTTGTTGAAAAGGCTATCCTTTCACCAGTACATTTCCTTTGATCTTTGTCAAAAATTAGTTGTCCATGTATGTGAGAGTTTATTTCTAGACTCTATTCTCTTTCATGGATCTATTTGTCCACTGCTATGCCATTAACCCACTGTTTTAATTATAGTAGCTTTACAGTGACTCCTGAAATCAGATGGTGTTAGCCCTCTAACTTTATTCTTCTTTTTCAAAGTTGTTTTGGCTATTTTAGCTCCTTTGCATTTTCATCTGAATTTTAGAATTAGCTTCTCAATCTGACAGAAAACTACATGGATTTTCATTTCATTGCATTGAATCTGTAAATCAATTTGGGGAGAATTAACATCTTAACAATATGGAGTATTGACCCATGAACAAGGTATATCTCTCCATTTATTTAGATCTTCTTTACTTTTTCTCAGCAGTCTTTTCTAGTTATCTATGTGCAGGTCAGATCTTTGGTTATGTTTATCCCTACATATTTCACTTTTTTATATTATTATAAACGGAATTGTATTTTTAAGTTCAGTTTCCAGGTATTCTTTGCCAAATACAGAAATAAAATTGATTTTGTGTGTTAATCATGTATCCCACAACTTTGCTAAGCTCACTTATAAATTCAAGTGGCTTTTTTATAGATTACATTGGGTTTTTCATATAGTCAATCATGTCATCTGCAAATAAAGACAAGTTTTATTTCTTCCTTCCCAATCTGGATTCCTGGAAACATTGCTGAGAAAAAGTAAAAATAACTAAATAAATGAAGATATATACTTTGTTTATGGTCAATACTCAATATTGTTAAGATGCCAGTTCTGTCTTTATTTAGCCTGACTGAGTGCACTGGCTAAAATCTCCAGGACAGGGTTGAGAAGAAGTGGTAAGATCTGACATCCTCATCTTGTTCTTGACTTTAGGAGAAAACCATTCAGATTTCTACCAATAAATGTAATGGTAGTCTGTAGAGTTTTTTGTAGATGCCCTTTTTCAGGTTAAGGAATTCCCTTTTCTAGCTAGTTTGTTCAGAATTTTTATAACGAATGCATATTAGGTTTTATCAAATGCTCTTTTTGTATCTACTGAGATGACCATGATTTTTCTTTTTTAGTTTGTTAAAATGGTGAGTTTCATGATTTCCAAATGTTAAGCCAACTCTGGAGTCTTGAAATAAGTCACCCTTGGTCACGTTTATTTTTTAAATGTCTGAGGGAATTCATATGTGTGTGTGTGTGTGTGTGTGTATTCATAAAATTTTATTTAGAAGGTTTGCATCTACCCTCTTTCCTCTCCTTTGAGGACTTTAAATACATAGCTTTTGGGATCCTTGAAGTTTTTCACAGTGCATTAATATTCTTGTCATCTTTTAAAATTCTTTTTCTCTCCATGTTTTATTTTAGATCATTTGTGTTGACACATCTTCAAAAGTTCATTAATCTTTCTTCTGCAGTGTCTAATTTGCTGTAAATCATATCAATGTTTTGTTTTTGTTTTTGTTTTTCATCCCAAAAATTGTAATTTTAATCTGAAGTTCAATTTGGGTCTTTTCTTGTTTCAAAGTATTATTGTGGTAATATATATATAGCATAAAATTTGCTATTTTGAGCGTTTTTAAGTGTGCATTAAGTGGTATGAATTACATTCACAGTGTTGTGCAAACATCACCCATATCTATTTCCAAAACTTCTTCATCACCCCAAAAAGACACTCTACAATTTGGATCTTTTTTATATCATTACATCTTTTCCTAACTTTCTGAGTATATGAAATGAAGTTATAATTGTTTTTAAGGCCATTTCTTCTAAGTCTAATACCTGTGACAGTTCTGGGTTGATTCTCCTCACTCTGGGTCATGTTTTCTGCCTCTCTATTACAAAATAAATGTTTTTTCACTGTTGTTCCTCTGTATACATGGAAAATCCATTAGCAGAAAAATTGAAAAGTAGAGAGGAACAATATTTTGCACAAAGTTTTAGAATGATAAATAATTCATGAAATCTGTATATTGCTACTGTTCTTTTCATAGCAGTTTTTGATGCCTTTTAAGTCCTCTTAAAGCTTTCCAATGTAAAACCTAAGTCATCAAAGTAGCACACCGGGCCCTTGATCTCATCCTTGCCTACCTCTTTAGTTCTTCCCTTTCCACGCCTCATAGGTATCACCTTCCAGCCATTCCAGACTCCTTGTTGTTTTGAACACTATTCCTTCTCATGCCTGCATGTTTGCACATTCTCTTTTGTCTACCCTCATCTACCTTGGCTAAATTCGGTTCTCTTTTGGTCAAATTAGACTTCCTTAGAAACTTTGCTTAAGCCTCCTGTTTATATCCTCGATTATAAGCCCCTGGAAAACAGGAACAAACTCTTACAATCTGTGTACTCCAAGTTCCCAGTTCATTGCTTAAGCACATGGTATGTGCTCAGTAATGTTTCTTGCATTTAACTGAGTTTTGTAAAGTAAGATAAAGTAAATTCTGAAGGAATTAACTTGGAGTTGAAATACACATACATTATGTCTATGATAACCCTTCTTTATTTTACTATTTAATCATTCTAAACTTATTTAAGATTCTTACCTGAATATTTAAATAGTAGTACTTAGGATTTTTTTTTTTTTGGAACAGGTCTTCACTTCGTATTTAAAATTCCCTAGGATTTTCAGTGTTTTGTTTGAATATTAATATTCTCAACAGTATATTGCTTTTTTCTTATCTCTTTCTTGAACTTTCCTCCTAGGAAAATAATTTTCTTGTTAAAATGTCTCAATACCATGTATTGCGACCCTAAAATTGAGTGAGAATAGTAACATAAAACTGTGTTTCTCTCTTTTTAAAAAAAAATATTATAGCTTTTTGAAAGATTGCCAAGCTATTATGACCTTCAGAGGAGGCTGATGCTGTTAGAAGATCAAATAAGCTATCTTCTGGGTGGAATACAAGTTGTTTATATTGAAGAATTACAGCCAGTATTGACACTTGAAGAATATTACTCTCTTCTTGATGTGTTCTATAACCGACAATTGAAAAATAGAATACCTTTTCATCCTCGAAGCCTGCGTGGTTTACAAATGATCCTTAACAGGTAAGTATCTAAAACAGGAGGACTACTTTCACTCCTTCACTTAGGTGGGTTGTGTGTCTAAATGTATGAAACTTTTTTTGTATTTCAGTATGTGATTCTTAGAAGTTAAGAAAAAGAATATTACACTTCAGTTGTTAGATGCTGTTGAGTTGGTACAACAGAGCGAGACGTGGCACTTGCCTGCTAACCAGAAGGCTGGCAGTTCAAACCCACCAGCCACTCCTCAGAAGGAAGGTTGGGCAATCTATTTCCATAGTGATACTGCCTCGGAAACCCAAGGAGGGGTCGCTATGAGTTGGGTCCGACTCGACATGAAATAGGTTTTATCTCCATTTTACTGGTGAAGGTCACAGGGCTAGGAAGTATGTGGTCATTCTGACCAAGTGTGTCTTTTTGGGGTCAGAAATATATGTCAATTTTCCTATACTCCTAAGGTAGATTTTCTTACTTCTTTTTTCAAAGACTAATAAAACATTGTCTTGGGGAAAGAAATGGAAAGATCAATAATTTTCCTTTACTGTGTGTTTAATTACAGTGATAGATATGCTCCAAGCTTGCATGAACTCGGGCATTTTAACATCCCAATCCTCTGTGATCCAGCAAGCCTCCAATGGTTTATTCTCACCAAAGCCCAGCAGGCAAGAGAGAACATGAAAAGAAGGGAAGAGTAAGTACTGTTATCCCTCTCTTACATTGTTCAGTCTAACTTTTAAAATCAGGTATTCAGAGCTGATAAATACAGGACACTCATATTGTGTTAAACTTAGAAAACTGACTTCTTATTTCTTCACTCCCCACCTTATTCTGCAAGGGACTTGATGAGGCTTTTTTATAAGTTGTTGTTGTTGTTATGTGCCGTCAAGTCTGACCTGACTCATAGTGACCCCTCCTTGGGTTTCCGAGGCAGTATCATTATGGAAGTAGATTGCCCATCTTCTTACGAGGAGTGGCTGGTGGGTTTGAACCACCCGCCTTCTGGTTAGCAGTCAAGTGCCTTAGCCACTATGCTACCAGAGCTCCCTTTTTATAAGTATAATCACCTTAATCACTTTACCTCCATGCACTCCAATTTGAGAAGGGCTTCTTAATTAAAAAAAAAAAAATCGACTCAGGAGCAGATTGAAAAATAAGAATATCAGAAAGAAATTCTCCAGATGGAGAAGGGTGGCCACAGGAAAAAAAAAAAAAAAACAGTAGTTATTTGTGTTAGTTCTCCAGTGCTTCTGTAACAGAAGTACCACAAGTTAATGGGTTAACAAACAGAAAATTATTCTCTCACAGGTTAGGAGGCTAGAAGGTCAAACTGAGGGCACTAGCTCCAGTGGGAAGCTTTCTGTCTCTGTCAGCTCTGGGGGAAGAGCCTTGTAATCACTTGTCCCCTGGGTCTAGCACAGGGTCCCCAGGTCCAAAGGATGTCCTCCACTTGCAGCTCTTCTTTCTTGGTGAGCCCTCTGATCTCAGCTCAATTATTTAATCTCTTTTATATCTCAAGAGATATGAAGATTGCATCCTGCTTCATTAGTGTAACAGCCTCTAATCCTGCCTCACCTCATAGAGGTGAGGATTTACAGCCCAGAATAATTACATCAGATCACAAAATGAAGGATGTTGTTGTTGTCATGTGCCGTTGAGTCGGACCCAACTCATAGCGACCCCTCCTTGGGTTTCTGAGGTGGTATCACTACGGAAGTAGATTGCCCAACCTTCCTTCCGAAGAGTGGCTAGTGGATTTGAAGCACCAGCCTTCTGGTTAGCAGTCAAGTGCCTTAGGCACTATTGAGAATCATGGCCTGGCTGAGTAGACACATATTTTGAGAGAACACAATTCAATCCATAACACTACTTGAGTGATAGAAATCTTTGTTGCTTAAAAATTTGAAAACTACTAATACGAAAAAAGCTTCATCTCCAACTTAAATAAATTGAGAAGAATTTTAAAGTAAAAATACTCTTTTAATTCAAAAGCAGTCCTGTTTCTATGTTGTGTGTAGGTTTTAAGGAATCATGTTATATAGCAGACAGTTTCCTGTTTCTTATTAAGCTACTGCTCGGTGCTTTGTTTTATGCATCTACTGTGAAGAGAGGAGGTTATTAATTTAAAAGTGGATTGTTTTTCTGAAGATGTTGCTTAAGGAGGTTTTGTAAACATGAACTCATTCATTCATTTAGCCATCATGTACTGTGAGGGTTGCATGCCAGAAGCTGTGGGAAGTGCCACTGATAGAAACATGAAGACAACCTAGTTCCTGCTCTACAGGAAGTTGTTTCTAATAGGAGATTTGAGGGCTATGAGTATGTCATTGGTAGCTGAGCCCACAGAATTGAGTTGAGTTACTCTGGAGACATGGGCATTGAAGGGAAGGCCATGGCAGAGGAGCAGGAAGAAGCTGAAGAGAACAACTCATGGACGCCATGGGAGGAGGAGTAGTTCCAGGAGAGGGATAAAGAGAACAGGGATGTGGTACCTGATCTTTAAAGATTCAGTAGTGACTTGTTCAGCATATGGCGGTGGAAGTATTCTGATTGCTCAGTTCTCCTACCTTGTTGCCCTCAGTGTCTATAAATTTTAAAACTTGGGGATATAAAATAAAGAGAGAAGAAGGGTGGCAACTAAGGAGAACCATGGAGCTATCCCTTTAATAAGAAGTAATGAGATCATCTATTTATAAAGTAAATGAAGGATCTGCATCTCTTTATTTTGCTTGTGGAATTAGTGACAACTTTATTGGCCAGATCCTATTACCTAAATATCCTACTTGTTGCTTATTTGTTGAGCATTTGTGCCTGTAATATTACTTTCCAAATTAAGTCTGCTTTAACCCTTCGGAACAGTTCTAGCCTGCCCAATGATTTGGTTTGCTTTACCATAGCTGCAGCTTTTTTTTTTTTTTTTTTTAATATTTATTGTGATTTGGGTGAAAGTTTACAGAGCAAATTCATTTTCCATACGGCAGCTCATATACACTTTGTCTCATGACACTGACTGCAATTTCCCACAATGCATCAACTCTCCCCTACTCCCTCCCCAGAGTTACCTCTTCCCTGTGTCCATCCCTTCCATGCACTCCTGCCCCCTGAACTGTCTTCCTGTGCATACACAGCCCTTCTATTCTCCCATGATTGGTCTCTTCAAGGAGTATATCTACCTAATATAAATGTTCTAGCTTCAGCTTTTTGTGTTTTCTCTATGGCCCTTTTATAGCTTCAGAGTATTTTTGAGGAACCAAGAATCCTTTTATCTTAGAAATATAGACTAAACTGCTTATAGATGTATTCATATAATAGATTTTCTTCAAAATAAGAGGGTATGGATGAAGTAAAAGATAACAGCTGGCCACGAGTTGACAACTGATGAAGTTTGGTGATGGACCCATGGATGTTCAGTGTGCCAGCCTCTACTTTGTGTATATTTGAAATTTTCCATAATAAAAATTTTAAATTCTTTTTTAAGAAATGGACAACAAAGGAATAAGACTACAGTAGGGAACTATTGCTAATACTTCTCATTTTATAGACTTGTTGAACTACTGAATGTGCGTGCATTATTAGGATAAGAATTTTAATTAGTAAAATAGAGACTGTACTTCATTTTTTGCCTTTTATACAGCAAGTTGGTCTTGAGGTACAAATATATATAAGATAGATAAGGTAAGGGTATTGTATAATCCTACAGAACTAGCTTGAGAACTGCAAAGCTCCCGCCGGATATTCATGGTATCTACTGCAGCCTAGATTTCAGGGTCTGTGTAGTGCATCTGGTATACCAGAACCTCCTTTGAAGGGCATCTGGTCTACTACTTTGAAGCATCCCTTTCTACTCCCTTAGAATAATTGTATTGATGCCTCCAAACCCAAACTAGTTGCCATCGAGTCGATTCTGATTCATGGCAACCCCATGTGTGTCAGAGTAGAACTGCGATTAAGTTCTACTTAGATCTATTTTCTTATGGCAATGTTATTTTTATTTCTGATAAAACAGGTTAAAGGTTATTGAAAATGAATTGATACAGGCTTCAACAAAGAAATTTTCTCTGGAGAAGTTATATAAGGAGCCCAGCGTTTCTAGTATACAAATGGTAGATTGTTGTAAGAGACTGCTAGAACAGTCGTTGCCTTATCTCCATGGGATGCACCTCTGCGTGTCACATTTTTACTCTGTCATGCAAGATGGAGACCTTTGTATTCCTTGGAATTGGAAGAATGGAGAAGCCAACTAAGTAACAAATCTGTATTATTTTTTAAAGAAATAAACAAGACAATGTTAAGTTAAACTTATTTAAATCCATAATTTGATATAACAGTATTATTATACATCTTACAAGAATAAAGTTTTTAATTGCTGCTTTAAAAGTAGGCATTTTTTTAAAAAAATTAATTTCTACTAGGAAACTTGTTGTAAAAAAGTTTTATCTCTTGATGTTATGGTATTTCTTATCTGATTGGCAAGCCTAGGTGAGAAGATGTTAGAAAGAAAGAACATATTTTTAGTGATATGTAAATGAAGGACTCTACAAGAGTAAAAGATACATATATTTTTTTTATATGAATGAATGGTGATTTGGGGCTGGACAAGTATGTGTGAGAGTATTAACAGGCCTCATATTCAGTATCGTGCTGAAGTAATGGAACTCAGTTCCACATGAAACACAAAATTCAGATTGCAGTGTTACAGCCACAGCTAATATATATATGCACACAGGTGTTTGCAGCCGAAATGGTCAGTTGACATCCAAAACAAATTAGGTAGCAAATGTTGCCTAAGAAAAACAATTGTTGTCGTCGTTGTTGTTGTTAGGTACCATCGAGTCAATTCCAACTTATAGCGACCCCATAGGGTTTTCTAGGTTGTAATATTTATGGGAGCAGATCACCTGGTCTTTCTTCTGCCGAGCCACTGCGTGGATTTGAACCACCAGCCTTTCAATTAGCTGCCAAATACTTAACTGTTGTGCCACCAGCGTTCCTTAGAAAAAGAATAGAAGGGCAAAAAGAAACAGTGGATATATAGTATTGACATTGTTAGCAGTCTGATTCTGATACCAATTTATTAAAACAGCTTCACTAACAAAGAACTTAGGGTTAAACTCAAAATTTCTCATACTTATTAAAATTTTATAACTGTTGGTAACATGAAAGCAATGGATGCTGAATGTTTTTGAATCATTTAATAAGGTGGCTCATTTGTTTTCATGGGCAGATAGTACCCAGGAAAATCCTTGCCAGCTCCCAAAGGTCCAGACATAAGGTCAAGTTAAAATGGTTCAGGACACATCAGTATTTCTGTCACTCCTCTCAACCCCTAATTTCCTGTGCCTGTCAGTGTTTGAAACTCTTTCATTAGCTTTGGTCTGGTTAAAGCCCCTCAGAGTAACCTACGTTCGTGGCTGTCTGGGCTTACCGGAGATTTGTCCACTGAAGAGCCAAGTGACCTACCCGCTACTTATGGTGCTTCTCTTACTGCAGATGTTTTCCCTAGTATAATGGTTTTAACCAGATGCAAAAGCTCTTCAGCTTGCTTCTCAAAGGAAGAAGGTAAATCCTGATTTGGGACAGAGTTTTCTGCTGAAGAAATCAAGAAGTTTTTTCCTCAGTGCAGTAGAAAGTAAAGGACACATTAAAACTGTTTTTGAGGTATGTTTTTAATTAAATTTATCTAAAACACTGGTTATTTAAATAGTTTAAATTCAAATATGTGTTCAAAAGACGTATAGATTTGTAATTCTTGTAGTTTGTGCATATTATCCCCTTTAACCTGTGCCTAACAACTATAGTGAAATTATTTTTCTAATGTAACACATGTTAGTTACCTATAAATTTTCCAGAGCTAAATAATGGAAGTGAAAAATTCCTTAAAGTTTATCTAAGAAAATTTATTGTCAAGTTAGGTTTGAATCGTATCATTTCTAAAATCAACTAATATGGAATCTTCAGTAATTTGTTTTGAATTGGATTTTGCCTCAGAACTAATTGTTACGTAATAAATAATACCTGTGTTGATCAGAAAACTGTTTTCTTTTGTTATTCAATTATAATAGTTTTACAACCTAATAGGAAATTACAAGAAACGTGTAACCTGTATGTGCCTGTTTCTACCACCTGTCCATCAAGTTTGTCAGACTGTGCTGGCCTGCATGATGCTGTGATGCTGGAAGCTATGCCACAGGTATTTCAAATACCAGCAGGGCCACCCATGGTGGGCAGGTTTCAGCGGAGCTTCCAGACTAAGACAGACTAGGAAGAAAGATCTCGCGATCTACTTCTGAAGATTAGCCAGTGCAAACCTTATGAGTCACAACAGAACATTGTCTAGCTAGCGTACTTTAGACGTGTCATCAGGAAGGATCCATCGCTGAGATTTGATCAAACTGGTCAGTCATGTTTGGTGACATAGAGGGCCCACAAGGGTGAGCGAGACCCTCAGTGAGATGGATTGGCACAATAGCCACAACAGGGAACTCCAACAGGGCAGCAAATGAAAGGATGACGCAGGAGGAGGCAGCATTTTGTCCTGTTGTATGTATGGTCGCCATGAGTCAGAATTGACCCAGCAGCATCTCTCTACTTCCTTGACTTCCTCTCCCAATTATTCTTAGGAAACTACTAACAAAAAGGGAAAATTTTGTCCCCCCCACTGAAAACTAGCACAGAATCAGGGCCTTATAACTGTTTGTACAAAGCCTCAGATGAGAACATCATGGAGAGGAACACTTGACCTGTCTTCCCAGTTGTCACTGCTGGATACCTGGGGATGACTTGCCTGCTGGCCTGTTGCCCTCCAGTACACGTGGGAAGAGCCCCCTCGATACCCACTTCCCAGTGCCGCCTCATCCAGGTTACAGCTGGCCTGTAGTCACCCACAACCGTCCATCTCAATTGGGAGCATGGGAAGAGACCTCTGCTGGTCCATTCTTCTCTAGAATTCCTGGAAAGGGCCCCCTCCCAGCCTAAACCCTTTTCGGGAAGGGAGTAGAGGACAGAGGTGAATGTGGGGAAGTCTTGACAAATCATCTGCCAGCCCAGCAAAAACTCTCGGAAGAGGAAAGGTCCTGAGTCCCCACATGAAACAGTAAAGACAGAGCAAGAGAACAACGAATAAGTCTGGAGCTTATTTTCCAGGGCCCATTCCTCGGTCCTGGGCTGTACCACTCTGTTCCACCTGCCCCCATACTCTGCCTTGAGCTATATTTTGTCAGTTTTTATTCTGTGGAACAAAAGGAATCTGATCCAAAACAACCACCCAAGACCACACTGTTGCCAAATACCAGGACATATTGCAGTGGCACTTTTTATTGGTCACCCTGGGCACCTACCCTCAGGAGTACTGGCACCTCTTGACCTTAGCCTTCTTGACACCACTCCTTGGGTTCACAGACACTGCTCTCCTGGCAGGTTTCTGCTCAGCCTTCTGCTTATTCCTATTGCTGTGAGTTCCTTTGTTTCCAAATGAATTTGAGTTCCGTCTAGTACAGACTAGTGCTGCCCCGAGTCTTCTGGCTTAGGGTGGTGGGGATGGGAGAGTAAATCAAAGGTCTTCCCAAAGGATCAAGAGGATCTGGTGACCAACCGAATAGGGGTGTGGAAACAAGATGATGTGCTGATTTTGTGATGAGGGTGGGGCACCAGCCACCAGCCCTGAATGAAGGTGCCACTCAAACTTCTGTCTCTGAGTGCAGCCATTTCCTGAGGCCTCAGCATGTAGATCCAGCACCTGTGGGTGTCTCTGCCTGAATGACTCCTCAGCAACTCAAACCCAAGCTCTCAAATGCCCCCATTGTCTTTCCCTCCCATTGCCTCTTCTTTATGTCATTTCTCTGGCAATGATATCATTAACTAAGGGGTCTGTATTATGAGTCATAGGAGTTAATGGGTAAGGTCTGAGCATTCAGCCAGTATCTGTTGAAGACCTGCGATGTGCCTGATACTGCTTACAGGAGTGGCTGTGCTGTTGATCAGGAGACATTTGATCCAAGCTTCAGGGTTTTAGTGTGGCCAATAAGTTGTTTAGTGTGGCACTATGACTTTAGGTTAGGGCTCTGTTGGCCCTCTCCTAAAGCCCATCCAGTGGTGGAAATGGCCAGGAACATGCAGAATATTGTTGGAGCATTTTTGTCCCAAAAGAAATCATACCACTGAGAGAGCAGGTACAGAACAAGCTGTTGAGGAGTCCATGAATCTGGGCCTACAACGTAACATCACATTTACCAGGAACCTCAGTGCTAATGGCTAGACCCATTCACTTACCTTTATGACTGAGACCCACCCCACCCAGCTCCCCATAACAAAACCAGGACATCATCCTTGCTGACTATTGTTTCCACATCCCTATTTAGTTGGTCACCAGATCCTCTTGATCCTTTGGAAAGACCTTTGATTTGCTCTGCCATCTCCACCACCAAGCCAGAGCATTCAGGGTGGCACTAGCAAAGCAATGGCTTCTAGATGGCAGGCAGGGGCTGATACACTAAGGACCCAAGTTAAAGACAGGTGGGGATGAGCAGACGAAGCATTTGCCACATCAAAAGGCATCTGATTTTTTTTTTTTTTTT